CACAAATTTTGGGGGGGGGGGGGGCATATTGTCTACTGTCACCGATTATTATTATTATATAGCGTCAACCGTTTACGCAGCGCTTTACAATATAAGGAAGACATTACAATCACAGTACAATTCAAGACAAGATGGTAAGGAGGGCCCTGCCCTGAGGGCTTACAATCTAAAAGGGAGGGATAAGTGATACATGAGGAGGGAGCTGTGTGGGGATGAATTGTTTGAGAACGTGATGGTTGAGTGGTTAGTTTGAGGTGGGATAGGCTTCCCTGAAGAGATGAGTCTTAAGGGATCACCTAAAGGCAGTCAGAGTGGGAGATGGTCTGGCAGGTTGGGGTAAAGAGTTCCAGAGGATGGGAGAGACTCTAGAGAAGTCCTGTAGGTGAGCATGGGAGGAGTTGACGAGGGAGCTGGAAAGCAGGAGGTCTTTGGAAGAGCGGGGACGGTTAGGGTGATACTTTGAGGCAAGGTTTGAGATATAGCCAGGGTCAGAGTTGTGGATGGCTTTGTAAGTCGTTGTTAATCTTTAGAATTGTATCCTTTGGGCAATTGGAAGCCAGTGCAGGGCTGATCACCAATTAATTGGTGGGGAGGGGTTTTAGTTACTACCATTGAGCTCCAATCATTGGGGGATTATTTACTGCCACTACCCACTATGTTGTACTTTACATACTCCTGACCACTGCTCTCTCTCCATTAATATGTACATTACTGCAGTGTATAGTGCTATATTGCTAAGTATTCTCCCAACTGTATTAATGAAGTTTATCTTTAAGGCGGGGTCAGACAAAGTGATAGTAGTCTGTATTTTGTATGAACCAAAGCATATGTAATGTAAGAGTTTAATTTTTGTAAATGCTCCTTTGTGCTGATGTTTTTGCTTGTATGTGAGACTTTCCCATGTGGCACAGTAATTATGGCATATTTTGTGGGCACAAGCACTGCAAGATATGTGCACAGTGTTTAGTGTGAGTAGCTTTAGACTCTATGCTCCTGTGCTCCTTTAAACCATGCCAAATATTTAGCACAATGTAACTACAGCCACTTAGCGCACCGCAGACCTTCTCCAGCAACGTGTGTCTGTCCTTCTCATGTTTTTAAGCTGAGAAATCTTAAGTAACGAAAGAATGTAAACAAGAGGGGTTGTGGGATTAAGGTAAGTATGAATCTGAGGAGGCTGAAGTACTTATGGACGGGGTGGCACAAAGGGATAAATGCACTTTATTTGAAAGTGCAATTATCCTTTAAACCCTTGGTTCTCAACTGGTGGGTCGTGACCCAAAAGTGGGTTGCGACCCCATGTTCAGTGGGTCGCCATATGCCTTTCACTTTTCTAGGTGAGGGGCTACTCAGCCTACCCCACCCAGACGCAGCACTGACCATTCTTACACTGAGCAGCCATTCAAAATATGCTGCCAGGAGCCAAGTGTCGACTTGAGGTGGGGTGGGCTGGGGATATGGCCGCGAGGTAGCTTCATCCATACGTGCATTGTTCCTTTGCGTGTCCTGTAGAGGTGCCTGGACTGGAGTGACATCACATTCTGGCTCCCAGCTACTCTACAGGTGCACATGGGAGCTGTACAAGCAATGCACATATGGATGGAGCTCCTTCCCAGCACAGCAGCCCACACTGCCGTGCGTTCTATTGCAGTACGACTTGGGTCACGACTTAATGACCGAGGACAAATGTGGGTCCAGAGGTTACACAGGTTGAGAATCACTGCTTTAAACAACTAAAATATTTTTGGCACAAAAGTCCATTACAGTTGTCCCCCAAATCATTATCAAACCCCCAGGCCTATGTTACACCAGTGACAGAACTGCTATTGTTCAACATTTATTACCTCACTGCAGGGACCAGCAATATATTGGTCTGTCGCTGCTCCATTTCTAGCTATTGAGCTTCAGCAGCATTTTGTTCAGTAACAAAGCAAACTCCACTAGGAATAATGGAAGTTGAACTTCTGCTGGCTCAGAAAGAACCACCTATGGCAAGCTGGAACTGCAACAGCATATACTGACATGTACTGATTGTATTACTGACTGCAATATGTCTTTTAAACTGTAGATGGCAGTGTAGTGCAATGTTAGTTCTCTATATGCATGCTTATCTATGATACACAGGAAGTTCTCTCTGAATGCTTTATAATGTTGTATTCTGATGTAATGCTCTCCTAAGCAAGTAGATTGTAATTCAGCATTCCTTAAGATCTCAGGGCTTTCTTTTAAACCTATAACCAACATGGCAAACAAGAACAAAGCAGTGTAGCACAGACAGTCTTCTCTGACACCAATTGTAAATCCTCCACCCAACCCTCCCTTAACATTAGTAATTTTTCTGCAAGGGAAAATATCAGGCTTTTACTACGCGTGTCATAATGTGCATCATTTTTGTACTACATGACAAGTGCCATCATCCTGAAGGAATCATCAACGGAACTGGATTCCTATGCGAATGTGCTTCTCTTCTGATCTCTTGTGCTTATGTCCTTCATAATGATCAAAGGCCATGAGGAAAGACCAGGCTGTAAACCCATCTAGGCCACTTTGATGGTGCTGCCCCCCTTGGTGGATGTCACCACCTTAGGTCCTGGTCTGTTTTGCATACGGCCCTGATCAAGGACAAAACAGTTGGCATTCCTAAATAATCAGGGGTCTTTTAGAGGTATACCCTCTGCCTGGTTTTGGGGTCTTTCTTCTGCTTTACGATCCTTGTTCCTGCACATTAAATACACACCTAGTACAAGTACAACTACAATTGGTATTAATGTTAATAAATAGTACAGTTGTCCTGAGTCAGTCTTAATGTCAGCAGTGGGTGCCTGAAAGAAGCAATGCCAAGCCACATCTCTATAATTTGTTAGGAGGAGTTCAGCTTGGGGTGTGCAGCAATTGGATGTGAGATGAACATATTCATATTTTCCATCTGGTCCATGGGAGGCAGAGCCAGAGCCATTGAGGATCTGAACAGACTTAATGCCATCAGCATCAAACACAAGAAGATGAGCATTCCATTGATGGTCCTTGCAACGGCTGGGTAGCAGAGATTCAGGGCAGGAGCCAGAGTAAGACGGCTGAGGGCACACAGGTGGGGTATGTCTAGGAGACACCTAAGTGAAAAGAAATAACTAGTAAGCAAGTAAGATACAAAGGAAACCAAGGAATACCTTCTTTCTATTTATATATGTTGGGGACAACTCATCATTTGGTGTCCAAAACTGCCCACTTGCACCCCTTCAAATCTATGAATTACTTATTCCTAAACCCCTGCACTCTGTATTTTACTTTACTCTGTGTGTTACTTACTTCTGACCCCTGCACTCTATATTATACTTATACTTATTATTCCTCACCCCTGCACCCTGTTCTTACTAGTAACTCCTGACCATTATGCACGCCTGACCCCTGTACTTTATTCAATATGCACTTCTGACCCCGGCAATCTGTGCGTTATAAACTACTGACCCCTGCACTCTCCTTAATTCTGACCCCTGCACTCTATGCATTATTTACTCCTGACCCCTGCACTATGCACTCCTGCACTCTTGACCCAGAGCAAGATAGGCTCAGGTTGTATTTTACTATACTCCTTTAGGCCCCTCCCACTGTTACTGCAATTTTGCTACATCCTCAATTTTTCACGGCACACCTAGTACGCCACTTCATTAATCTATTCAGGATACCCTAAGCATTTTGTCTTTATACCTTGAATGTCTGCTTCTAGCTTCATAAAATCTGTGACTAATTGTTTGAGAGCATGTTAACAGTAGGGGGTTGTAATTTTGTAGGTGTGGCTACAAATCGGGGAGCGGTTAAAAGTGGACTTGGTCAGTAGGATGTCCCCAGATTTCATTTTGAAAATCTGGTAACCTTACTGTTAAATATACAATTGCAAATGTTTTGTTATATGTTTTCAATACCTGCTGTTCCATTACACATTGTCCCTAGAATAGAAGTGAGGGTAACCTCCCCAATGGGGCAGTAGGGAGCAGTAACAACTGTCAGATTTATTACCCTTCCTGACTCTCTCAAAATGCTGTCAGACTGTCCTGTAATTACTAATCATGTGTAGTAGCAGACTGCACCAACCTTAACTTTGTCAGCAATCACCAGAGAGAGATGGGTGAAGCAGGCTGGTATATTGCTCTCACACTCTTTGGCCTCCGCCATCCATGTCATCACCGTACCAGGTGCCACACTGTTAGGACTACTAATATTTATATTTAGCACTTCTGAATCACTGGAGTTCATGTCTACCCTGCAAAGGGAAAAACACAGAAAGAGAAATGAACGTTGGGGCAGAAAAGACAAGAAAAAAAGACTTTGGAACACTTGGGGGTCCATTTATAAACAACTCGTAGGGCCCTTGACCCTGCGAATATCTGTGAACATTCATTTTGGGATAATAATGCCAAAAACGAATGCTCTTAATATATATTTTTTCCCAATTGGAATGCTGTGTGTTGTTGTAATAATACACTATACTTGCGATAGGAAGCTAAAGGAGCATGGGGAAAAAAAAGTATCTACCGTAATGTCTATGTTCCTCATCGCCATCTAGTGGCCATAATATGGTATTACATGAACAAAAAAATGAAAATACATTGCCTTGTAACTAAAAAGCATTAGTTTTGGCATATATATATAGCACATTACAAACTACTACCCTACGGATAGTTTATAAATAGACCCCTTAGTAAGCCAGACGGTATGCCAAATTTATATCTGCCTGTGTGTCCAGATAGCTAGATTCTGGGTGAGTCGCCCTCTAGTGGTGTCCATGAGTATTGCAAACAGTCTGGTACGGTATTACCTTCCAGAGTAAGCACTCTCCTTTTCCTCCTCCACAAAACAAATTTAGCAAATTGCCACTGGCGTGATTGCTTGACACCAACTTTCTGATCTGTATGGCCACGACATCAATGTCATTTTTATTATGTAATAGGATCCCCTAAGAATCAGAACTGTATTGAGGACATAGGGCTAGGGGCAGGACCATCTCATAACCTGATTATTCAAGGTTAGACAAGCTATGCTTGAATACGCATGGCCTTTTGGTGCTTGTTGTGTGGTCCCCTGACCCTAGCATTCCATTGTGGGATCATTGATTTGTCAAGCAGCTGTGATGGTAGTAATCTCTAGCAGTCTTAGGGAACATGTTCCCAGTTTCCAACTATCTCCTGCAGCATGTCTCCAGCCTTTAACCAGACCTACAGCATGTCCACAGTCTCTGATAGACTTCTATAGGCTTATATACTTGGAATATTGTGTGCAGCGCCTTTGTAATGTCAGGGGTAGCACTTGAGGACCACTATACCTCACAAGTTGACCATCAGTGTCTTTAGGTTTGTTACCTGCCAGAACAGAATTTTTTTTCTTCCAAACCGATCATGCCAAAAATAAAATTATAAAAAAATGTACACAGCATGCTTGCTATGAATAATTGTGCTTTAGGGCCCGTTCACAGATATAGTGGTGACTGGGGGTTTTCCGCACTGGACCATCGCCAGTTACCTCTAGGACACATAGAGGGTTATTCACAAAGCTAGCCGAAGGATCAGCCATAGCTCTGACTGATCCTTCCGCTAGCTTCGGCCTCCGGAGCCCTTCGGTTCAGTCGAAGTGACACCCGGTGCCGGGTGAACGCCTCACAATTAACAGCTGGACGGAGCCAGCCATGATCTCATGGCTGGCTCCGCCCAGTTGCAATGACAGATCAGCGTCCCCAGGTTACAATGACAACTGGGCAGAGCTGGCCGTGATATCACTGCCAGCTCCACCGAGTTGTTAGTCATTGGCCAGGACCTGCTAGAAGACTCTAGCAGGTCCCGGCCAATAGGAAACAGCTGGGCGGAGCTAGCTGTCACCGCTAGCTCCGCCCAATTGTTTTTTTTTTTTCTTTTTCAATAATCTTTTTTTTTTTTTAAATCTAATATTTATTTACATTTTTTACAAACTTTTGTAAACTCTTTTTTTTTACTTTTTTCATTGATTTCCTATTCTGCCCGGTACCACGGAGGTACAGAGCAGAATAGCTGAGCCGAATGCCGCTCAGCTGCATTCGGCTATTCACTCACTGCTGTTCAGCCCCTATGTGAATAGGGGCGAATGGCAGCAAATGAGCTGCCGGAGCTTTGGCTCAGCCGACGCAGATGTTGGATTGGCTGAGTCAAACTCCTGTTGCGCTTCGGCTCAGCATGTTCGGCTGAACCAAAGCCAGCCGAAGCAAGCCGCTGTACGGGTAATTTCAGCCGATGTACGGCTGAAATCAGCCGTAGTGAGCTAAAGTGAATAGCCGAACAGCGTTTGGCTCTGTTCACTTCGGCTCGGTTATTCACTAGCTGCCTGAGGCAGCTTTGTGAATGACCCTTACAGAATACCACTGTTGTCTATGTGCCCTGTTCATACCACAATGTGCATGTGATGTGCGATGCGGTTGGCTGAAGTAAAATGCGGATATACTTGATGATGCTAGAGGTCACCGCAACGTAAAGTCATGAATGTACACACTTTGTACACTCCAAATAAAGTTTTTAAAAGGAAACAGTGCTTTGCGTTGTAACAATATGTCACCTTGGCTCACCGCTGCCACCCAGTGGACATACCATGTTTTACCATGTGGCCAGTGTGAACGAGCCCTTACGCTCAATACCCATTGAGTTTATGACATGACTTTTTCCTGACACTAAGCTTCCCCCCTGCTCACCTAGTCCTAGTGAAGTCACTGAAGATATCATAAGGTGATCTATTCACAGTCACACAGTAGTGATGAGACGATCCATGGTTGGTGATCTTCACTAGCATTATCTGTGAATTCCCCGGTGTCGGGGGAACAGGACAGGACATCTGCAAAAACAGAGCTTGTTATTCACCCGGTTAGCACTGGCAGATTTCACTCAATCATCTATCACACAAAAATTGTCACCTTCAAGTGCTGCTACAAAAAATATAATGATTTTCTTAAATGTAATATATGTAGGGTGCTATTTAGCAATGTTTTTACCCAAGATTCACATATATTTCTAATTAAATCTTAGATGGAAAATGGTGTAACACTTGGGTGAAAGTTGTGTGGATCTTGGGTGAAATCATTGATAAAGGGACCCCTACGCCATTTGTATATATTGTATGTATGTTCAACACAAAGAGAGAAAGCAGCTTCCGGTCTTCATTACGGGAAGGCTCCAAGTCTCACACTGGATTACTGCACAGATCTGGAAGAAACACACAAAGCTCACCAAGATTCCAGGAAGAATACACATGGCTCTTCTATACAGAAAACATTTGCATATCCCGGAGTTCATCTTGAAGGCCATTGATAGGTCTGATGAAGCAAAGCTTACACAAAGTTTACTGGCATTTACAATAACTGGGCACTCACCTCCAGCGTGCATTCTGCTGATCTTAGATGCTGTGGAGCCTCACGTTTCACCTCATGCCCTTTGCCATCTGTACCACTCACGCCGAGGCTAAATTCCCCAGTGGGGATCTCCCCAACCTGCGCCACCAGAATCCCTTTCTTATTGGACGATTCCAGTTCCACCGTTAGCATCATCCCGTTGGCTGGGGTCAGGTTAACGTGGGTCAGGTTTGCAGATTCTGGGAGGCCAATAACATCAACTACCAGGACTGCCGGGACACCTGAGGGTGACACAGAGAAGACACAATGAGGGGAATGAATCAAAACTGCAGCAGGCTAAATCTGGAATAGATGCCCATGGCAACCAATCAGCTTATTTCTTTCATGTTCAAATCTTAACGAAGCAAACTAAAGATAGAAGCTGATTGGTTACTGTGAGCACCTGCTCCAGAATATGTCTTCTTCAATTTTGATCAATTCTCCCCAGTATACATTATTGACGTCCTGCTGTTTGAGCAGTTGCAGCAACAGTATAAAAAATGAAATCCAAAAGCAGAACATTTTCAGTTTTGGAAAAAGCAGAAAAGAATAAGAACCATGTCAGCTTTTTCTTATGGTGTGTGTCCCCGTTTGAGAGATTTCCTCTCGCTTCCTGTCTGGAGAGAAGAAGTTGTTGGCAGGCTGCAACAAATCAATTTTTCAGAAAAGCATAGAAGGGTTAGAAGCTTTGTCAGGTTACTGTTACTCTCCGTGACTTCCTATGCCAGTGACATCATCTTTTGTCCTGCTGTCATAGGTACAGGAAGTAAGGTGAAATCTCTACAATGGGGTTACAGACAGTAATAAAACATTGACAGAAGTACTTCCATTGTCTATCCAAATAAAAAAAATTGTCCGAAGTTGGGTTTAAACCATGACTGTAGGCAGGGGCATCCCTAAAATTTTACACACCTGAGGCCGGGGGATTTGGGGGGGTGCATGGTACCTCTGTCCAGCATCCTACCCAGCTCACTGACCTTACTGGTTGCCAGGAGCTGCCTGGGGTGCCAGCCAGAGCATCACAGGTTGCGAAGAGCTGTTAGCAACCTGGGATGGTCCGGTCGGAAAGGGGGCGGCAGGCATGCCCCGCCCCCAAGTAACCCAGTGGGATGCCGCCTGAGGCAACTGTTTCAGGCTACCTCATTATAGGGACAGTCCTGACTGTGGATGACTGCTTCATGAGTGACCAGAGAGTGATTATTATTCTGTTACTTGACTGCTACATGAGTGACCAGAGAGTGATTATTATTCTGTTACATGACTGCCACATGAGTGACCAGAGAGTGATTATTATTCTGTTACTTGACTGCTACATGAGTGACAAGAGAGTGCTACATGAGTGACAAGAGAGTGATTATTATTCTGTTACTTCACTGCTACATGAGTGACCAGAGAGTGATTACTATTCTGTTACATGTCACTGTTACAAGGTTCATCCCAACCTCTATCACCATCACTTTGCTGGCCAGCTTGGCCTGCATTTAAATGTGGAAGAGATTGTCAATTCCAACTTCTAGTTTTATATGGAAAACGTTAAAGTACCTTTAACTGGTCATGCCAAAATTCATCTCAGTCAATGCAACATTGCCTACCTGTCACCGGTTGGTTGTCGAGTTGGTAGAGTCCAGGGTGAGACCCGTTAACGGGGGTGCCGAAATAATAGAGAAAGTCCAAGGAGCTGCGACCTTAGGAGAGGGAATACAAATGTATACATGTCATCAGAGTCCTAAGTACAACATAGAATATGAACAAGTTCTGGATTTATTTATTTATTGTCACACTAAATATTTGAAGGTAATAAATGCAAAGGAAAAGCTACAATGCAATACACTGATCACACCTCAGTCCGGCACACTGTGTTCATCCGCTCTCATGTTTGTTTGTTTGTTTGTGGAACTACAACGTCTTACCCTTAACCACCAAGGAAGGCGCCATCTTGGCCTCTATTGCCAAGGTGCTGCACATGTGATCAGCAATGACACCAGCCATTTGAGGGCTTGAACGTTTGGTTGAAAGCTAAAGTAAGCGCAATTGATAGCTGGCATTTTGGGAGACATTAAATTGTTGGGTCAAGTCTCGCTTTACCAAATGACGTCTCCTCACCTTGTACACGTATGCTGTGGGGCCCGAATGTTTCCATGGCAATGCTCCAGTTGCCCACTTTCAAAGGATCTTGAAGAAACATGCGAGTGAATTTGCCATGAGCTGCTCGGTGGCCTCGATGTTTGTGGCCTAGAAGGAAAAAGAGAAGCCTGGCTGTAATATTGCTGAAAATGTAGCTCACAGCTGCCACTGATCTTCATTTTGAACCCAACCCCTCTGTCCCTCTTTCCTCCTCAGTCATCCCTCTTTCGGTTTGACGTATAGATTTCTATTAAAAAAAATAGGGATGAGCTTAAGGTGAGGTCATTGAACGGATATGGGAATGGCCACATTTGGTCAATGACGCCACCCAGGATCCATGGCTGGTTTGTTTACTAACACTAGAAACAGCAAACTCAGGTGAATTTGGTTTGCCCAAAGCTCCAGCTCATCACTTTTGAGAAGTATGTGTACGGAAGGACAGCTGCTTACGACATACACTGGGGGGATTTATCAAAACTGGAGCAGATTTGCACTGCAACCAATCAGCATCTCCCTCTCATTTTCAAATCTCACCTGAGAAAACTGTAGAGAGATGCTGATTGGTTGCCATGGGCAACTGCTCCAGATTCTCTCTGCTCCAGTTTTGATAAATTCCCCCCATTGTATTTAAAGTGTATCTAACCCTAAGAATAACCCTAAGAATTTTCCAGTGTACTTGTCTTAATTGTGGTGATTGCATTCGTTTTCATTTTCCTTTATTTTCACTGGCTATCCTGACAACACACTTCCTGTTTTAGGGTGATCGTGACAATAACACACTTCCTGTTCTAGGGGGATCCTGACAATAACACACTTCCTGTTCTAGGGTGATCCTGACAATAACACACTTCCTGTTCTAGGGTGATCCTGACAATAACACACTTCCTGTTCTGGGGTCACAGCATTCATTTGCAGTATTTTATCTATGGAGGAACAGCGTTGTCACTCTTGGACAGGAAACGTGTCTGCAGAACACTCCCTTCAACTCCATACACAAAGATAGCTGGGAACAATGTGACTGATAACAGTTGTCAGAGAGCACAGGAAGTTATTAGCTCACAAGATTTCTAGTATTTAGAAATCTAGTATTTCTAGTAAGGATAAACTAGTGTATTTATTTTTTTTTGGGGGGGGGTTGCATTTGTTGAACAGATAACGGTATGCGGTCCAGTTTTGGTCACCAGTACTCAGAAAAGATGTCCTTGAGCTGGAAAGGGTCCAGCGGAGGGCAACCAAACTCATTAAGGGGATGGAGGACCTGAGCTATGAAACAAGGCTGTTAAAATTAAATATGTTCTCTTTGGAAGTAAGGAGATTAAGGGGGGACATGATTTTCTTGTATAAACTGTTCAATGGTGACAGCAACATTATTAACAAACTCTTTACGGTTAACCCAATAACAAAGACTAGAGGCCACCATCTAAAATTGGTGGAGAAAAAATTTCAGCACACAGGCAGTGATTTCCGCTAAGGGTGTAGAATCATTCAAGAAACTCTTGGACGATTTCCTTGGAGACCATATCATACAGCGGTACAGGTAGTGCTGAGAGCAAAATCACACATGGACTCATACACACACCAGCTCAAACATAATGCATACACGCAATAGGTTGGACTTGATGGACTTATGTCTTCATTCAACCTCAAATACTATGTAACTATGTATATAACAAAATGCTTTCTTTAACAGATGGAGTGGGAGGAAATAAGGAAAAGTAATTGTTAGAGATTACAAACTCATTAAGAACAGATAGACCGCTAATTCTTACCTTCAGGGTCCAAAATGTGAACTCTTTTAACATCTCCGTTTATAAACAGGGTGACATTGTACATGAATTCATCCACCAGAAATATGTTGTTAGGTTCACCTTTCTCAGAGCTTTGTTTATATAGGAGTGTGACCTGTGGGATTGCAAAGACACCAGCATTATTAACCAGCAGCTCCAGTCAAAAAAATTAAATAATATATTTACAAAAAATTATAATAAAATAATTATAAAACCCACCCATGAAATATTTTTTTTCTTACTTTTTCTATATGTATCATTTTGACATTGCACAGGAAGACAGTGCCAGCTCCAGGCTATTGTAGGATTTGCTGCAACCATCACAAAAAAGAAAAGGTTTTAAACCTCAATCTTTTGCCTTGAGATTGCAGGAGTCTGATACTAAGGGTGTTATTCACAAAGCTGCCAAGGCAGCCGAGTGAATAGGCCAGCCGAAGTGAAGTGCGCCGAACGCTGTTTGGCTATTCACTTCAGGCTTGTACGGCTGATTTCATCCATACATCGGCTAAAATCAGCCGTACTCGGGCTGCCTTCGGGTCAGCCAAACATGCTCTGTATGTTCAGCTGAGCCGAAGTGCAGAAGGACTTCCCTATTCTCGTAAGGGCCAAATTGCAGTAAGTGAATAGCCCACTGCCGCCGAGCCGCTAGGCTCTTCTGCTCGGTACCTCTAAAGTAGCGAGCAAAATAGCAAAAAAACTGTTAAATGAATGGGGGGAAAAAAGTTGAAAAATTATTTTAAAAATGTAATAAAATAGGAAAATTAAAAAAATATTAAAATATTTTTTAGAAAAAAATAATAAAAAAAAAGAAAACCAATTAGGCGGAGCTAGCGGCTTCGGCCGACCTTTCTCCACACATCGGCTGTCACTTTGGCTCAGTCGAGCAAAAGCATATACCTTCGGCTCAGCTGAGCCACTCGGCTGCTGTACAGGCTATTATGAATAGCCCATACAGCAGCCCTTCGGTTTCGACTGGATCCTTCGGCTCTTTCGTGAACAGCCCCCTAAGAAAATGGGTCTGATGTATGAACCTTCCAGCCAGCATAAAGTTGGGCGAATGCAGTTCACACATCATTACCAGCACTAGATAGCGCCGAGGAGCATAGGAATTTCCTCTGTGCCTCAGAGCCATCTAGTGGAGGTAATGTCGTGTGAGCGGCATTCGCCCGGCTTTATGCTGGGTGGAAGGTTCATACATCAGACCCTATGTGTGTGGCTTTTGGCATGTGTCTGACCTAAACTCTCACCCTATCCCTTAAAGTGCATGTATATCTAAAGCCAGTTTGTGTGCAAGGGATGAATGAAATATAATATCAAGGAAGGTTAAGGGCATGCACACACAGCAAATAGTGTTACAGCACTTTTTGGGAATGTAGCTGCCCATTTGCTTTGAGACCCCAAAAACCCCCTTACATGAAAATGACAGTAATCTGATAACAGTAGGTGGCTAGTAGATGTTACTACAGTACTCAGTGATAGTAATTGTCTTCTCATGTATTTGTAGACAAAGCTGTCCTTGGAAAGTTACAATGGCAGGGATTGTGACAAACCATAACACTGCAGAGGTGCTTACAGCGATCACCTTTTGTTTACATTTAAACTCTGCTGCAATTGCTGAAGCATGTAATCCTATATTTTATATATTTTCTAATGTAATTGTACATTTTTGTGCATGGTGGCTTCTATATGTAATCAGATACAATTATCTATATGTGGAGGTGTTGAGTCCAACGTCAGGTTACATGCCCTTATACCGGGGATCCATACTCCATTAGTTAGTTTTGGGACAAGATTACATATATTGGCATTTGAATAAAAAAAGAAATTAAAGAATATACTTGTGAAGACATGGACATCAGTTTATGGGTTATGTGTGTGTGATTATTGGGTTATGTTTAAGTATGTTATACTGGGTAATCTCTTTATCAAAAGACTGTCAGCACCACCCCCCATTAGCTCTCTTTGTACTCCCATAGAACTTGTTACAGTCTTTTTGTCCATTTGTTTCATTGTGTTAATGATGGGATTAACATAGCTGACTCTAGGTGTAGATGAGTAGATTACTCTACATTAGACAGTCAGGAGATAATCCCATCCTATTTGTTTTCCCTCTCCCTATTCTTTCACTAAGGCACCGGGGAGGGGATTGTTTGCTTGATGTTTTGTTTGTGTTATGTTTTTAGACCTCCAGAACTGTATCAATACTGTGCTTGTTTTCAATAAAAAGTTTCTTTAAATGAGTTTGTTTCTCCCTACACTTTGTTTCGGCTAGTGACTGGGCGGACTGGGAGCTAATGATCATCGGATTGCAATATCTCCTGAGCAAGGAAGACTACAGCGGCGGACATACTCATCCTGAGTGTTTCATGTTATCAGAATACAATATATTTGTGCAAGAAAGGCCCTTTAACCACCTGAGGATTTTAAAAGTAGGAGATACATGTTAAAAAAACGAAAACAATGTTTCTACATTCTGCTCCTCTCCCCCTGCAACCTCTCCCCATGTCATTATTATTAGCAATGACACTTGCTGTTAGTCTGCAAGTGTCACTGATTAATATATTGTAACAACATATTGTTACATTGTATTTGCTGTAGCGCAAATGTGTGACCTTTGACATCAGAGAAACCTTACAAATAAAAAAAATGAATTCTAAATAAAATGTACCAAAATGTTTTTCTATTTACTACATATTAGCCCTTAGTTAACCCTAACCAACTGGAAAAACTTCTTCCACCCCTCAGCTATTATTTTTTCTCTGATTTTTTTTTTACCAATAATATTTATTCAATTTCTTTCATTTAGGTTTGTTAATTTTTTTAATGGGTTTAAATTGTTAAAACAAATTTTAATAAAAAAATTTTAATAGAAAAAAAATGTTTTTTTAAAAACTAAAACTGATCAAAATAGAGCACAAAAAATGTATTTTAATATTTTACATATTTTTGTGTATAGGAAAAATAAATTTTGCAAAATCTTGCCAAAGAAAGGTTTTTTTATCCCTAAAAAAGTGAATGTTTTATTACGTCATGTTAAGTAATGGCAGTTATTGCCGAAAAATATAAATACAGCTCTCATCAATAAGGGGTATAAAGGTAGGAGTGCTGGTGCCTGGAGGTGACAAAGTTTAACTTTATACCGAGCATTCCACACTCTTACTAACCCATAAAAACCTTTCCTCACCACATCAAAGTGGGCTGAATCCATGATGATCTCTGAAGCTTTTCTGATGTCGTTGTTTGTTGTGAAGACCACTTGGCCCCCAGAAGTAGAAGCAAGGTCAGTGTAGAGGTCAAATCTGTCCGGGTCTAACACTTCCCTCTTGCTCCTCTTTAATGTAGTCCGTGACGGGTCCTCTGTGATCAGGAAAGACACCTGTAAGACATAAAGAATATTCCAACCTTGTCTATGTCCAAATTTTCACCTCTGAATTACAAATTCACACTTTCCGGCGTGCAAAGCAAGACAAAAGACAGCTGCAAAGGGCAGAACCCTACATCAACCAATCACAATTCACTTGTGGTTCTGACTCCTTAAGTTAAAATGTGATTGATTGCTATGAGCTACTGGACTTTGTTCATCATCACTGAAGCTTTCACTGTTTAAAAATATTAAAACCTTTTCTAAGAGAAACATATAACCTACTGTTGCTGACTTCTCAGGATTCAAATGCTAGTTGCCGGACTGTCATGTTGATCCTGTTTGGGGCTGATTTGTGAAAATTCCGCCAAGCCGTACGCTGGGCGAATGCTGTTCGCACGGCATTCCCCCCACTAGATGGAGCAGGGGAGCATACGCTCTTCTACTCCTTCTAATGGCAGGACTGCTGTGTGAATGGCACCTGGGCAGAATTTTTATAAACTAACCCCTATGGATTTACACCTCTCATCCCTCCCCCATCATGTGACTGGACGGTGAAAAGAGAAGCAGGAGACTGATAAACTCATCAATCCATCACTCTGCTCACTCCTCCAATTCAAGCACGTCCCTTGTTAGCACATATGCACTGCAGCACAACTGATTGGCTCCCTGTGCTATACATCCCTACCTCTGTCTGAGCTCTGCTGCACAGAGGCTGCATGAGGCCGATACCAAGTCATACTTAGGTGCTTTAGGTTGCATTAAAAAAAATATGATGTATTAATGAATTATATATAAATATATTTTGCTCCCTCCAACTATATAAGCAGCGAGCACTAAATCTAAAATAGTGTTTTCGCAATATTAATGAATGTCCAATATTAAAGGATTTCCTTGAGCTGGAAAGAGTGCAGAGAAGGGCAACCAAACTAATTAAGGGGATGGAGGACCAAAGCTATGAGACGCGGTTACTAAATCTAAACATGTTCACGCTGGAAGTGAGGAGATTAAAGGGGGATATGATTCTGATGTACAAGATGTTAAATGGGGATGCAACATCAGCAATAAACTTGTTACGGTAAACTCCAAAACAAAGACTAGAGGCCACCACCTAAAATTGGTGGAGAAGAGATTTCGGCAAAAGGGGCGTAGGGGATTCTTCGCAGTTAGAGCGGTTAGAGTCTGGAACTCGCTGCCTAAGAATTGATTTCAGCTGAGAATCTGGAATCATTCATAAAGCATTTGGACAATTTCCTCAGAGACAGTAACATACAGGGATACAGGTTCAGTTAGGAACAAGATCACACATGGACTCATACACATGTAGAATCAAATGCATACACGCAATAGGTTGGACTTGATGGACCTGTGTCTTTATTCAACCTCAAATACTATGTAACTATGAATACAGAGCTGCATTCATTTTTGTCTTTTCTATCTGCCTGGAACTCAGCTTCAAAGTAAATCTGCCAAGAAAGAAATAGATTCTCTGCAGCTGCCATGTTCCCGCAGCTTCAATGTTTCATCACTGCTCAGTGCATATCAGTTGTCACAACACTTCACTGTCTGCAAGCTTGTTCCAGGTCAGTGACCCGCTAAGTAAACACGAATTGTAGCCACGCTGCCAAAAAAAACCCACAGTTGAGCTTTATTATTAAAATTAACAACAATCTACGGCCACTGAATTCAGGTGACCGAATTTGACCGTTAAACCCCTTCAGTTCACCTTGATCTTCTTCTCTTGTATCAAAGCTTCCACCGAGCTCCTGAGATGAGCGTCCTTAGAGGAAGCGTCCGTGAAGACGAAGATCTCGGAGTAGGGGGGAGTGTTGATCAGGGCTAGCTGAGAATAAAAGAATTAAAGGAAATATAAAGTGGTTTCATATATACACACACAGACAACTTGTACAGCATTCTTTTCACATGCTGTGCCTATTTTCCTTGACTCCTTTGTGGTAGAAAGCCAGTTGTGTACAGAGCTCTTTAGCTCAAGCTGAAATGTACAAGTAAATGAGTCAAAGCAGTACCGTCCTCTGTCCTCATGCCTGAAAAAAAAGACAACTATTGCTGCGCTCCCTATAGTCGTAGTGCTCTGGGAATCCTTTGTTGTGAATAAAATGTTAAAAAAAAAGTATAAACATTCAAAAAATAATAAAATTTACCCCAAGCCAATACTGTTCCCTTATAAATACTAACAACCACCACTACAAAACAAGAGCTAAACAAAGGAGAGATAACTTAAAAAGAAGTACATACCTGAAGAGCCGACAAACACATCTCTGGCTCATCTCCCCCTCCCAGAGCCTGTAGGCTGTCCAGAATTTTTAAGAACTCATCTGGGTCACTTGTCTTGTGTACCGGGCCAAAGCCTAGACATATAAGAGCCTGATTATACCGTTCAACAAGTCTTCAGAAAGAAATGCTAATTTATCTTAAATCAACTATGTAATTTATAACAATACTATGCTATCCTGCTATGCTGATACCAGTCTGCTTGCCCTTCAGCAATGGCACTGTGCTGTGAGAGGGGTTCCCCTAAAAAAGAAAGGCCCCCCCTCTGGGCTCTTTGGCAGCCGTGTTGCCCAGGAAAGGCCCCTATAGGTAGATAGAAGGATGTCACTTTCCCTGGTGAACTGTCTTTAGGGGTACCTCATATACCTAACCAGTTTATCATGTGTAAAATACATTATTAAATCTTTTTGTACCTGTAATTTCCTTCTAGGCTCTAATGGGGTCCAAAAGTGACGCACAGTGGGAGCTCAGAGGGAGAAGCACAGGTCAAACCCTTCCTCACTGCTCAAACACCATTTAAGGGAGTTCCTGCCACTGACATAGTTTTAAGGACTTCCCTATGCCATACCGGTAATCGCCTATATTTGGTATAAATCTAAATGGCGGACAAGTAGGTTGTTAACAATCCCTACCCTTGCTTAAACCCCCCTTAATCACCTGGAGTGCCAAAGAGCCCGGTGCAAGTGCGATTCAATGGCTGTCCACCAGTAGCGGCATTTACCTGATGTACATTCATCCTATTATAAATTGTATACACGTGACTATGGAATGCAGGGCAAACGCTGACAAATTTCACTTGTATTAATGCAGGGCCATATGTAAGGTTTTTCTTGATGTACAAAACTGTATCAGGGGCAATGAGATGGATGTAATGGATTTATGGATGGATGGATTGATGTACCTGGGTCATGGAAGGGCACAAGGATGTAGTAGTCAGGTTGCAGCAGGGTGCCACGTTGGCGCTGGATGATATGGTGGGATTGAAGACGAGCGGATGTGATCTCCTCACCCATACTGCCAGTGGTGTCCAGGACAAAGCTCAGTGCAGGGAAAGCAGAGACACCCAGCAGTCTGTGATAACAAAGGGATTGCAATCAAATTTAAAGGATCACTCTATCCAAACCTGCCGTTGTAGTTTTATAGATGCTGGAGGGTCAAACCACCTAACAGCCTCTTATGTTTCTCCAACACTCAAGTGGTGAAATCTGCAAACCTTTAGTGCCCAGATCTGCCACAGCCGTTGTGATGGACTCCCTTGCTTCCTGTTGGATTTTTTAATTTGAATTATGGAGAATGTAATAGGAGGCGCGGGATCACTCTTCAGTGGATGGGAACATTCAAAACGTTAAGGTGGCCAAGAACAGGTCTATGGGTGGGCTATAGGTGCCCGGATAACAACTTACCTTCCCCCACCCCAAAACCCTACTGGCTGCTGATAACCAATCCAATCATTTTGTCTTAATAGTCAATAAGTTCATAGAGTGGAGGAAACATTAGGGTTAGGTCATTTCATGTGACACCCATTGAGAAGATTTTCTGTCCCCGTGATGTCCATACAAGAGGTAGGGTCTTAGGAGGACAGCAAAGCACAACTGTAACAACTAGGGATGCACCGATACTAGTATTGGTAACGGTGCCGTTACCGAGTATTTGGGTGGGTACTCACCCAAATACTCCCGATGCTTGTTCCGATACCGGAACTCACAGTATCAGGAAGCCAGGTGGCGAGTCATTACACGCCACCAGCTTCCTGATTGGTCGGGAAGGCAGCTCCATGCTCCCTCGTCACCAGGGAGCATGAAGCCGGCTTCCGGCTAATCAGGAAGCCAGAGGGTGGGTAATGACTAGCCGCCCGGCTTCCTGATTGGTCGGTGTTAAGCGAGTCATTACCCCCCCCTTCAGCTTTCTGATTGGTCAGAAAGCCGGCTCCATGCTTCCTCCTCACCTGGTGAGGAGGGAGCATGGAGCCGGCTTCCCAGCTAATCAGGAAGCCGAACAGCGAATCATTACACGCTGCTCAGCTTCCTTAATGGGACTTCCGGTATTGGTATTCGGTATCGGTAAGTACCGGAAAAAAATATCAGTACTCAATACAGAAAAATCGGTATATGTGCATCCCTAATAACAACATTGTCAGAGGTCTTAACCTTTCCCTATTCTATAAAAAATTTGATTTTGATCAGAAACTCCCCCTCCCCTTCTTTGCAATACAGGTGTGAGGAGGGGTGTGGCTGTTACTCAGCTCTGCCAGCATAAAGCACCGGAATATGAGAACGACATGCAGCATTTGGCTTTTAACCACTTTGGGTATATACTGTTTGCTTAGCAGTGTCAGAACAGTCCACCCCACTCACCTGAGCATACTGTTGTCAGTCACTTCTCTTCTCAGCTCGTTTAGAAATTTAATAGAGGCTTTCAGGGCAATCTTGGCCGCCCGCTCGTGCAGGAAGTGATGGGGAGAGAACAGGGGCGTGGCCGTGTCCTTGTTGATCCCTCCTTTAGCACTGAGCTCTTTGCTGTAATCAAAGGGTCCACCGTGACTGCATTTTCCTGTTGCAGAAGGAAGGAGGGTTAAAGTGGTTAATTCACAGACATACAAAACCTCAAGCTCACCCAAAACTCATTCATCCACTCCTAGGTATGCAATCTCTACTTTAGGGTGGAGATTGGTGGATAAAATCACCAACCACCTTCTTCTGGCAGTGAAATCTCTGCACCTAATTCCCTGTCTTCTCCAGACCAGAGAGGGAATCGCACCCTGACATGAGGCTCCTTTCTAGGCCCTTTAATGACCATGAATGGACAAGTACACAGAGCAGAAAGCTTCAACAAGAAGAATTCACTGTTGGAGTCTCCAAGCCATACAGTGGGTACACCAACACAACAGCCTCCATCCAAAATGGAGATATGCATGGCCCTGGCAATTAGGACAAATGGTTCTACTACTGAGGATTCTCAGTGGCTCATAGTAAAATGTAAATTTACTGTACTGTTTATAAAATATCTGTTTACTTGTGTACTGCTAATAGACAAATATGCAATAAAACTATTTGATGTCGGTATTAAAATAGAATTACGGGCAACCAAGTAAATGCATAGTTGAAATACATGCTGTATATGTTTATCCGAAAAAAGATTTGTGGCCGCTATATGGAGCTGAATATTATTGGAAATTAGTATTTATTTTCTATGATCCTCGGCCCAATCTAGGAAAATACCTGATTATGACCACTAGATGGAGCTGAACATTATTGGAAATTATTGGGGTTGTAGAATTCGATGGGCCGTGCAAGTGCAGTGACGAGCGAGGTTGTAGAATTCGACGGCGATTATGTAGCCGTGCAGTGAAAGTGGCGGTGTGGTTGTAGGGCTGGTGCACGCGCAGTATCGGCAGGTGGTCTTAAAGTGACATTAAACCCTCAGATTTTTTAACATAAAACAATACTGTAATGTGTGCCTTACTGTAATCCATGGTTGTTCCCCTTCTCTTTGCTGCTCTTCCTTTTAAATCTGTATCTCTTCTCATGCTGGGCAGGACTTCTGTTTTGCTGCAGACTGCCTTGTCTCTGAAATGGATACATGGTGTCTGTGTATAGGTTTGCAACCTGAGCCAGCACTACAGGAAGAGGCACTCAGCTGCAAAGGGAAGTTCTCCCCAAGCTTGAGAAGACATTAGGATTTAAAAGGAAGAGCAGCAAAGAGAAGGGAAACTACCATGGATTACAGTAAGGCACACATTACAGTATTGGTTTATGTTAAAAAATCTGAGGGTTTAATGTCACTTTAAGCTCTAACTGGCAAGTCACCGAACGTGGCATCAGCAGTCGAAGATCTCGACGGGTCAGAGCCTTCGACAGAACAACAGGCGAAAATAGAGAAAAAAGCCCGAAAACAGAAAACGAATGCAGCCACCTTATCTAAGGTCTAGTACGCTGCAACATATAACATTTTTGTTCTTGGGTTAAGTTACACTTTAACAACTAAACTTAAAACCTACCTTGAGGCTTCTCTGGTGTCTCTCCGTAGTATCCAGACGTCAGGAGATGTCTCTTTTGGATGGCTGCTACAATGTTATTCTGGCAAGAGACATCAGTGCAATCTGTACAGGTCTGATCAGAGACTGAGCACCAGAGAAGAGAGACAAAAAGAGGTCACAGGGGGAAACGTGGAGGTTAGTAAGAGCGGAAGAGACAGGGGAGAGACAGGGGGACATAAATGGCTCGAGAGACACTCGACAAAAGGAAAAATAGACAAGAATAAAACAAGAACATTGTACCCAGGAGTCCTAGATTGTTCACTTCTCCTGCCTTCTCCAAACTCTTCACCCTTTTGTGAATAATCCTGTAGGATTTTCAGCCCCTCCTTTTGTACTTTATTCAATATAAAATTAATACAATTTAAAAAAAAAAAACCACAGGGATGATGGTGTCCCTCATAATGGTCACAGTACTGACCCAGGAACTCCGCACAGAAGTCTCACCAATAGAGTCCCTCAGATATAAAAGAAAGGTGGTGCCATGTGGTGGTTTGACTCTCCAGCATCTACCAAACACTGAAATATTCATTGTAGGTGGGCTGACATTTTAAGAGAATGGGTTTTGGCATAATTGACATGCAGGGAATGGACACTTACAGGGTTATTCACAAAAGGGTGAAGAGTTTGGAGGAGGCGGGAGAAGTGAACAATCTAGGACAACATAGCTGATTAGGAAAAATTCTCCAATTCAGCTCACTTTCCGGTTCAGCGATGTTGTCCTAGATTGTTCACTTCTCTTTCCTTCTCCAAACTCTTCACCCTTTTGTGAATAACCCTGTAAGTATTTATGACAGTGTAGTCTCGCAGCTGGAGAACCTAAGACATAAAAGAGACGCTAAGGGCTCAGAATAACCCTGTTAGTGACACCTCTGACACTCTGATCAATTAAATATAAGAGTGATGTCACAGAATGATGGGATGTAAGATGATGTCCATTACCTCCAGCAAGAGAAGAGATGTCTCTCCCCGGGGTGGCCAGGTCAGGATGGATGTCTGTGTGTCCCAGCTCCACCCAGTTGGTATGACTGTAGAAGTCCTGCAAGAACAGTACAGAGAGAGGACATGAGAGATAACATGAAAGGATAACTTGGAAGTGAAGTGAAATATTCACTTCAGCAATTCCTACCTTCCTGCAATTAAGACTGCCCTATATATTAAACGTAATCACCTGAGCTACAATCATTCAAACCCTTGTATGAATATATCTGGACACTCTTGTAATACATTTTGAGTTTGTGATTTTCTTTGTTTATGTTTTTACATTTGCAGACTTTTTGGCGGTTATTCAAAAAAGAGCCGAAGGATCAGCCGAAGCTGATCAGCTTCGGCTGCCGGAGCCCTTTGGTTCAGTTGAACCGAAGGGCTGCTGTATGCGCTTATTCACTATAGCCCGTACAGCAGCCGAGCCGAACCCATATTCTTCAGCTCAGCTGAGTCGTAGTGACACCCGAAGCGGGGAGAAAGGTCAGCCAAAGCCGACCGATCAAAGACAAAAGCTGGGTGGTGATGTCTCTGCTAGCTCCGCCTAATTGTTTATATTTTGCCGACATCTATCAAAATGCCATTCTGCGGCGTGAGTTCGTCACCAGCAGACGGGTCGGCGGGCGTTGTTTTTTTTTTAGATTATTATTTCTATTTATTTTTTCTTGTTTTATTTTTTATTTCGTCGAGTCGCCGGGGACGTCGTGATTGACCTTTAGGATTACGTCGGTGGATCCATTTTTTCTAATTAATTTTTTTTATTAAAGGACTTTTTCAAAAGTCTGGTCTTTTTATTTACAATTTATTTTAACCCTTTTGTGAATGGGTAGGGGTACAAGTACCTCTTACTCATTCACAAGGGGGGGGGACCACATCTGAATAAGCCCCCCTGCCCGCACCCCCACAACCAATGCCCCAGGGCTTGTGTGGTAGAAGCCCTTGTCCCCATCGGGCAGAGCATGTTTGACTGACCGAAGGCAGCCGATGTTCGGTTGATTTTAGCCGATGTATGGCTGAAATCAGCCGTAGTGAGCTGAAGTGAATAACCGAACGACGCTCAGCTGTGTTCATTTCGGCTCGGTTATTCACTCGGCAGCTTTGTGAATAACTCCCTTTGTCTAATTCAGTAATAATTTAGACCCAGGATGGGCACCTTTTAAACCAACGCAATGCTATATCTGTCCACAAGAGGGCGCAAAGTAACTAGAGGAGCCTTCATCTGATGTCTGTGTCACATTGTGCTCCTGTTACATGCTGAGTCTTGCTTTGTTCCATTTCTTTATTGTCCATTGGAAGATGTTATTACCTGCAGGGCATGCAGTATGTGCCCAAGTATCTCTCTTGCGCCTTCATATTCTTTGGCCCTTATGTAGCTCAGCAGGTCCTCCCTGGCCCGCAGCAAGAGGCTGTTGCCCTGTCTGACCCGCTCAGAGTCAAAGTGACGTATGGGGTCATTGCGTGTCCCGTTAAGGAAATCCATGTTGGCGTTGGCACTGACGATCTGGCGCATGGAGGCGCGGTATTGGCGCAAGGACACTTCGTCCCCATAATATGCCCCAAGGATGCCATCTGGGGTCAGCGTCTTGCCCTGCAATAGCCAAAAAAACAAAAGGAAAATTGTGAGAAGTATAAAGAACTTTTGACTGACAGACAGACTGACCTCCAAAGTAGACCTAAACCCAATCACTAAAATCTCATATAAGCTTTCACATGTCATTTCAAAGTCAATATTTGAATAATCTGCAGCTTTCATTAAATACCATCTGGTGCTCCTTCCACCAATATCCATATTCAGACACTTCCTGTCAAAGGGTGACAATGCTTTGTAGCAAACGGCAGCGAGTGAGCTACCGGAGCTTCAGCTCAGCCGATCCAGACGTTGGATCGGCTGATTCGAAGTCCTTCTGCACTTTAGCTCGGCCGAACATACAGAGCATGTTGGGCTGACCCAAGGCAGCCGATGTTTGGCTGATTTTAGCTGTACAAGCCAGAAGTGAATAGCTGAACATTGTTCGGCTCACTTCACTTCGGCGATTCACTCGACTGCCTTGGGCAGATTAGTGAATAACCCTGTTTATCTTTTATTGGCCATTTCTTTTTCATCTTTGTCTGGAGTTCAGTTTTTAGGAAGGGAACATTAATCTGGGAGAGAATGACTAAACACCAGAAGACAAGAAAACGATTGTTCTTTGCTGATCTGATTTGTCAGGTAGATGATAAGATGATGGCAGAGGATGTCAGTGTAAGTGTAGAAGGGAATTCCCATTGTGTGATCTCAGCACCATGGATAGCAGCCTCCGGGCCACTCTCCCAGCTGTGTGACTTGGCTCCATTGAATCCTATGGTGAGTCAGCACGAGCCAGACTCCTCTGATAATAGAACCTTCCATCACCGGCTGGCTCAGCGGGGGGAATTCACAATGCCGGAATATAATCACATCCGCCCCTCATTATTATTTTTTAATGCACCTGCTCCCTTCTCTTCCTCCCATCCCCCCGTTTCGTTTATCCCTTTCATGTCTACAGCCCATGGAGCACAGGGGCGGGTAACACCACGTAGAATTTGGGAGGCTTTCCAAGAAATGTATCTGCAGCAAGAAACAGAAGAATAAGAAAAATGGAGCCAGCAGCAGTTCAGGGGCCGGATCCTGTGACAGCGCAATGCTAAAATTCCAGATAATATCATTTAAGTACAAGTTAGGGGTATTTAAAGGCGAAGTTTAATCTGCCTTTATTTCACCTTCCCTGATTCCTTCC